GGAATGCAAAAGCTTCATCAAATGAGCACAGAAAGCTCAACTGACTTCTTTTAAACTTCTGGAGCAGTAGTGTGTAAGAAATGGAGCTAAGCAATAAGAATCCTAGGAACAACCTGGTGCCCAAACTGCAAGATGGCATATGGAGAACTGAGATAACGTGTTGTCCTGAATCCCAAGTGAGGACCTGGAACATGAGGCAAGATCTGCAGTGGACAGTGTCACCAGAGAAACATGTCTGAGAGGGATCTTGGATATAAACTACCACTTTACTATGAAGACAAGACTAGAGCCAATACCTACATGTGTAAAGTTCTCATGGTCCTCTGATCTGATGTACCTGGTCGTTCCACTCTCAACCACCTTGAGGAATGGAAAAGCAGTCTGAGGAAAAGCCAAACAATTCACACCACAATGAAGTCTGTGTACAGGTAGGATCAATACAAGACCAGAAGAGGACCTTCCTATCAGTTCATATCCTCTTGTGTACTGTGCCAAGGAAAGAAGTAAATTCTGTTCAGTTGAGTAGAATCAAAGCCTCACACCCTTCCTATCAGTTCATATCCTCTTGTGAATTGTGCCAAGGAAACAAGTAGACTCTATTCAGTTGAGCAGAATCAAAGCCTCATAAATCACAGTCTCCATGGTGAGTGATTCACACAGGGAGCCTTTATGGAGAATTAGGCTTTAGGTGTGCACAAGCAAGTACCAGGCTCAAACATGAATGAATCATCACTAAAAATGTGTTCATCATCTTAAAGTGAGGCAGATCCCTTCCTGTAACCCTACAGAGGAGAACGAAGGTAGGGACTTCACATATTTTTGGAGTGTGATGCTTAATGTGGAGAAAACAAGGAAAGTTTCCAAGCTAGCAAGTCAAATCTAGTGAAATAGTGTTGGGTGATGGTTGGACTTGGTGATCTTAGAGGTCTATTCCAACCTTAATGATACTATGATTCTATGACCTGCCTCTGTAACTATGTATGGACCTTGTCACTGCTGTGGTGAGTTCCCAGACAGTGGAGAAATTAGCTTTAGTCTAAGAACTAAGAAGTTCTGGCTCACCAGAGGTGAGAAACTATAAGAAGATAAGGAAAAAAAAAAAAAAGATTCAAAGCTATTAAAAAAAAAAATGAAGATGGGAATTGACCAAGTCTGTATCTCAATATCAAGTGCAGTTAAAATATTCTTGTCTGGATTTGGTTTAAAATGCAATCATCTGCATGGGATTTTTCATACAGAGAAAACTGATTTTATAGTATCGCACAATTTTAAACAGGGAAGTATTATCAGATACCGTGCAGGTTCAGATTTTTACTCATTTCTCCCCATGTACTGCTAATTTAAACTCAACCTATTTGTACAGATGAGAAAGTCTTTCAAAAATCAATGTTGTGGAATCATAAACAGAAAAAATTACACACAGTAAATTTTGGGGAGACTATTGAATGTCTCACACTAGGCAGCATGGCAAAAAGCCAAAAAACCCAACTCCATCTGAATTAAAAATAATCTCCCAAATTAAAAAGAAAATGTTTGCTCTCTGCCTCATATGATTGGCTGGAATGAGATGAAGTTATTTTCATATAGAGCTGTGCTGCTGTTCAGTGAGATCTAGGCAGGCTAGAGAGCTGGGTGAAGATAAACCTCATGAAGTTCAGTAAGGACCAATGTTGAGTCCTGCATCCAGGGAAGAACAACACCAGGTACCAGGACAGATTTGGGGTCGTCCTGCTGGAAAACAGCTCCATCGTGAAAGACTTTGGAGTGCCAGTGGACAATAAGTTGTCCATGGGACAGCAATGTGCCCTTGTGGCCAAGAAGGCCAATGGGATCCTGGGGTGCATTAACCAAAGTGTGTCCAGCAGGTCGAGGGAGCTTCTCTTCCCCCTCTACTCTGTCCTGGTGAGACCATACCTGGAATACTGTATCCAGTTTTGGGCTCCCCAATTCAAGAAAGACAGGATCTACTGAAGAAGGTCCAATGGAGAGCTATAAGGATGATTAAGAGACTTCAGCATCTCTCCTATGAAGAAATCCTGAGAGAACTGGGACTTTAGCCTGGAGAAGACTGAGAGGGGATCTTATTAATGTCTATAAATATCTGAGGAGTGGGTGTCAAGAGGAAGGGGACAGGTTCTTTTCAGTGGTGCCCAGCAATAGGACAAGGAATAATGGGTATAAGCTAGAGCACAGGAAGTTCCACCTCAGCATGAGGACAAACTTCTTTACTGTGAGAGTGACAGAGCACTGGAAGAAGCTGCCTGGAGAGGTTGAGCAGTCTCCTTCTAGGAGACTTTCAAAACCTGCCTGGATGTGTTCCTGCACAGCCTGCCCTAGGTGATCCTGCTTTGGCAGGGAGGCTGGACAAGGTGACCTTCCAACCCCTAACATTCTATGATTCTATGCAATATTACTTTGGAAGACAGGAAAGCATTTAAAGTGGTTTCTTTTTCCAGTCCGTTCTCAATGGTCAGCATTCAAAAGCAGGAACATGCTCTTGTTTTCAAAAAACTGTTGTTAAAAACTCTGGATAACTTCTTTTCCCTATTTTTCCTTGTATGAGACTTTCTGTATGTTCCCAACACATTGTGTTATTCAGGACAGGTAAGTACATGGTTAGGTTTCTAGGATGTACTCTGAATTTTTTGCTGTACAGGTATGACAAACTTACACTGGACTAATACAGCACTTTGGCATTAGCAGACTTGCATTTTTTTTCTTGCTATTATTTTAAGAATGTAGAAGTGTGTCTTTTACTTAAAGTTCAGAACAGGTTGCCCAGACAGGTGGTAGGAGTCCCATTCCTGGAAGCATTCAAGGCCAGGCTGGATGAGTCCCCCAGCAACCTGCTGCAGTTGATGATCTCCCTGCCCACTGCAGGGGGTTTGGACCTTTAATGATCCCTTACAACCTAAACCATTCTATGATTCTGTGAATGTAGGGACTGAACTGAACATGTACATAGCTCACAAAAATGGTTGCTTCTTCTGTACTTGCTTCTGTAGCAGGACTGATACCATGAACAGTAAACTCTCATCAGAAAACACTATAAAAATTTCATGAAGGCAGTGGCAACAGGAGAAAGCAGAAGCCATCCAAAAGTGTTGCTGCAGTACTTTTCAAAATGCCTAGAGATAATATTTTTTTAAAACAGCTGTGTGAGAACCTGGCAATATGAAAAGGTAAGGTCAAAGGAAGTGTCAATTGACCTTCACACTTCCTACACTTGTAAGGAACTTACAGGAAGTTTGGAGTTCTTTCATTTTGGAGAAATGTGATAGCCATGTGCCAATGTGGACAGTGACAGGAAAAATGGGTAAATTGGCAGACTTAAATGCATAATATGTAATATCTCTCAAAATCTTTTTCCTAAACTTTTCATTAAAAAGGGAATCATATTATGGCTCCACAACATCTGTATACATCTAGAGCATGACCCAAGATTCCCTCTCTTGTTCTTGGCTTGTTTAGAGGGAACAAGATCCACCCATCTCATCAGCCACGTTCACAGAAGGCAATGTCAACAAATCAAATTGTTCAGTTCCTTATACCATTTGGGAAGTGCACAAGATTTCAGGACATTAAAAAACCCAACAACAACCCAAACCTGAGTATTTTACTGTATCTTGTGGTTGCAGAGAAATTTCAAACTTTGGTTAATAATTAACCAAACCACTTTTAGTGAGGGTCAGGGAAGGAAGACTTAAACTCTCTGTAATCGTTTATGTGAGCTTCTTACTTCTTTATAATAAAATTAAATATATTCTCTGCTTTCAGAAGCTATTGCCGTGTTCTTAGCTTCATCTTTCAGCAAATTCTGCTAAAGACAATTTATTTTGGACTAGAATTGCTACCCTCTGTTTTACATGATATTAATCTAGCATTTGTGAGTGGAAAAAGAGAAAGGTAAATTTATGTAAAGATAATTCATTGCAAATACACATCAACTATCATTGATAAACCAAACATTTATTGCCATTTATAAAACAACTGATCAGCTTTATCACTAGGGAAATTATAACTTCACCTACACATTTACTCCTCTTTTTTTTGTTCCTCACTTCTGAGGCCAAGCCCTGCTATTTCCTTTATATTTATGTTCTTCATATTCTTCTGTATAATTTTTCTGTTGATGAATTTCCCCTAAATGCAAAGTAATTTTCCTTTCCTAAGGTCCCTCCAAAAATGGACAATTTCTTCCTGATTTTTATGACCTCAGATCTAGTTTGGTGGTTTGTTTTGTTTGTTTTTTCATTTTTATTTTTTTTTCTGATGATTTCTTTGACATTCATGTTTTCCTAAATGGAGATATTCTGAGGTAATAAAGGGTATATGGCACATAAAACAGCAGATCAAAAGAAAATCACCCCAATTTGTGACATTGGAGACAGACTACATTCACATTTTTATCAGATGAAAATGAAATAAAGAATTTTTTTGGCTGCTCTGAACAATGGGTTTTCAATTTGCATAGAAAAATGATGGTAAAACCTCATAACCCATCAGTGTTTTACCACAAGCTCAGTTCTATTACGTTTTAGTGGAGGTTCAAAGTTGTGTAAAGAAACCATTCTCTTCTTTCTCCAACCGTAAATGTGTCACTTGAGAGTTCAAGTTCCAATAGGAGCAGTATCTGAAACACAACTAATTTTAGAATATAAAGTGCTCCTCACCATATTGGAATACATATAATTTAAAATAACTGTAAACCTAAACTTTGCAAAAACAGAAAATTCAAGCACTAACAAAAAAAAAGCATAATTTGTAATTGAAAGAAAATAATATTTAAAAGGAAAAAAAAAAAAACTTTTTTGTCTTTCCAAAAAGAGACAGAAATTACTAAGTTTTATTTCCCAAGAGAATTATGCCACTTTTATAAAGAAAATTACCGTCACCACAAATTGCTCTCAACAATTCCAAAGCTTCTTCATTTGACCACTTGAAAATCAAAGTTCTTTAAGATTATAAATATAACTTTTTATAACTCTGTTATTACGTACTGTGAATGGGGAAAGGGGGCCAATCTTGTGGCCGTAGCGTCGAATGGCCTCTCTGATGTGGCTGGGCTGGATGGCATCACTTTGAGCCTCTATACCACAGGCTGCAGTGCTCTGCAACAGAAAAACACATAAATTGTTACTAAATCAAAAACACACAACAGACCTACAGTGCATAAAGTATGAAAATAAACCTTTAGAAAATGGACCAATTTTTTTTTTTCCTGAGGATACACATCGTTGCTGCCACACACTAGAGAAAAAAAGCTATTAACAAATCAAAGAGAACTTTTACATGAACTTTGCTTAAGAGACCCCAAGAACACCATATTTGTCCTCTTAAATCTTTCACCTAGTGCTGCTGTATGTTGCAATTGGAAAGAGCAGAAAATCTTCAAGCTAAAATGAAAGGGTCATATAAGTCACACTGCAATAACCACAGAAACTATTTTTAAACCATCTCAGGCTCTCATTATGATGTCAAGGGGTGGGGGAAATATTGAACAAGTACCCAAAGTGGAAAGCAGTTTGACACCAAAATCACCATTGAGTAATATCAGATTGAAATCCGAAGATGAAATGTGTGACATAATGGTGGTAGAGGGATGCAAAACTATTTTAATTAGCTCAAACTGGAATGTTTTTGTATTTCAAATGACTTTTTGGATTGAGGACCTTCAATAGGAAAAATAAGAATTTACTGCTACTGGCCCACTGACTTTACAAAAACAGCTCCAGGATTTTTAGAAGAAAAAGTTATTATTTTCTCCTTGCTAGTCAAACTGAAATGTTGGTTTAGGCTCCATCTAGACAGGGCTGATTGCCAGAATTTAGATGACTTATCAGAATGATGGCTGCTTGGTAATAAATTCATAAAAATGGGATTAGTGAATTCAGTAAGAAAGACAAAAGCTTGAATTATACACACAAGTTTAATGTACACACATACACAGTCCCTGCATACATCTACAGTGTACACTAATTCTTTCAAACCTGGGGTATTTTTTACAAAATGTTTTATTTTCCAGAGTGCTGAGTGCACTGGAGCCTGTGTGTTTACACACAGAATTATTCATAAAATGATGGCAGATTCTTCCCGTGCTGATTGACGTTCATAAAGGGAATATGAAACTCAAATATTTTCTGCTGGACTGGGCCTTCATGGACTAAGAATAACATTCTTCACCTAGTTAACTCATTTGTCTCAATGCCTCAGTTATATCCAGTATATACCTAACCAAATTGGATAAGTCACGGGAACATTTCATTAAAACTGTGCACTTTTTAGAATATAATTGTTTTAAAAGGCATTAAGTCAAACATTAAGAATTTAAAATAAACTCACAACACTAGTGAAATATAATGTATCAAAAACTAGATCTCCAGCTACGTTCTTTGTTTTAGGAATTAGAATGGAAATCAGCCACAGTAACAAAACATAATCAAATGGAATATAAAAAAGGAAAAGGAAAAAGTAAAAGTTGGGTCTTAGGATTCACTAAAGGCTTTCTAAACTCAATATAATAAGGGCAAAGAAAAAATGGAATGTTTTAGGAGTATCTACAGTGATGATGACACAAGTAGGAGAAAATACATTCTTCTATCTGTCACTGCAAAAAAATCACTGGTTTAACTCTGTGAAAAATGAGTATGTGTTTTAGGAGAATAATAACATACATGAGAAAATCACAAGTTACTCCACAGCTTCACAGTAAAATGAGTTCTGCCATCACAATTTTTTTCAAAAAAGCCCTAAGTGACTAACACAGTGCTTCCTGTCCAGGTTATTTAATCAAATCTATTTCCCTTGTGGTTTTAAGGTACATATAGAGCTCTCAGAGAGAATAAGGCACCACAACAGACGCCAGGAATTGTTATATTTACAATTCACACTCTGAATATGAGACGTCCATATTTTATGCAAAGTAAACAAATATTTAGATTGAATGCAACCAACTGGCATAAAAATAAAGCGGGTCAGGCAAAGTTTTTATAGGCAAAGAAGGCAATTGCCCAAGGCTGCTAGGAACAGGAAAATCACAACCACTTCTTTGCCTACTTTGCTAATGCTTTGACCCTCAAAAGCTTGCTACTGTCAGAGAAGGGCATGATTACCTGGGGTGCTATCTACTGCCTTGGCTGTAAAGGAGCAGCTTATCTTAGAAGCAGCAGTTGTTTATATCCACAAAACTCAAGACTGCTGGCATTACTGAGAAGCTTTACCCTAGTTCTGATAGAAAAAACCCAAACCACACACTTTGCCCTACAATAACATTGGTAGTTAATGTGCCATGGGTTAAAATTAATATTTAAAATGAGCCGTTATTTTCTGAAGATGTTTTGGAGTCTTTTTCTTTTTTTTTTTTTTTTTTTTTCCAGGTTTGTGCACCAAAATACCTTTTTTCTCTTCCTTTGTTTGGATTTGGTTGAGTCCTGTCCAATTCCACCATTCCCCAGGGCTCCTGATGGGTTTTTCCCAAGATGCTGCTGTCCTGCTGATGCTGGGGGTGTGGGTGTAGGAGGTGGTGTATTTTCAGGAGAGTCAAGACTGGTTTTCACACTTGTAGATTGCCCTAAGAGATGTGGCTATAAAAGCAAGATGTCAAAAAAACCCATTATTTAATCAATTCACCAAAAAAAAAAAGCCTTCTTAGATTTATCACTTCTTAGATTTAGATTTTTGGAAGAGATGAAATACAGAATTCTGTCTGGTTATTCTAGAGGTTATTGTACTATCTATATCCTAGCAATGCAGGCAAGACAGCACTTAATTCACTTGTCACTGCTGACCACTTTAATCTTCAAATCTGCATTAGAGAGAGCCTTGGAATTTTCACCCAAGAAGAGAGGATTTACATTTAAATATAAAGATGGTGTTAAGAATTTGACATTAGGAGCTGTAATTTAATGTCTTTCTAAATCCCTAAATTCCATGTTCATAAACTCTGTAACAGAAGTCTGCATCAATACCAGATACAATAATATCTACTTTGACAGCAACAGACTACCAAATACATGTAAAAGTGAAACATAACATGAGTTATTATGTGAAAAAGCAAGATTTACCTCAGCAGAGTTGTGATACTGTATGAAAGTGGCAGATATGGCATGACTGAACGGGTCACCAGCTTTGGGAGCCATGTCCTGCTTAACCAAAAGGGCCAAGTCCACCAACTGGAGGAGCAAAACCAACAAGAAAGAGGTGGGTTTACTGACACAGTACTTACTACAAATGCCATCATAAAAACGAAGAGAGAGAGTTGTGGGTTAAGGAAGATTATTCTTAGTGTTTCTCAGTTGAAAATAAAATTATTCAGAGATATTTCAGCCTAAGGAATCTTTTTTTTTTTTCTACTTCTGTAAATATATGGAGTAATCCATCTACCCAAGAGGGATCAGCTTGGCACTAAGGTGATGTTTTGTTTTCCAGGAAATCCTCCTGCTTTTTAATCCAATTGTGCAATGGAGTAGAATGAGCCTCAACACACTGCCAAAGGTCACATAGTGAAGTATGTGGTTTCAGCCTGGACTTTCAATAAAGTTCGTGCTGGACTCCACTCTCCTCTGGAACTGCTATAAAACATTTCTATTTGTGTCTCAGATGGATAAACAAGGTATAGCACACATCTATCACACAGTAGATTGAAAGACAGGAATCCAGTTAGCTTGGTTAGTTGAAGTAATGACTGAATGCTTCTGAAGTACATCCAGGAGTAATTAATTCATTTTGTTTAACTAGAATTCAGTCAGTATACTCCCTTACCTGTGCCACTGTCTCATATGCTAAGTATGCCAAAATCTCCATTGCAACTGCGTTTGGCTTTATTTCCATACTGCTACAGTCCAACCAGTCACGAAACTTGGAGGCTTTCTTTGCTGTCAGTTAAAATCATAAGAGGAAAAGGAAAAGTTAACAGCAGACAGACCAAAATAATGCATTTTTCCCAGTCATAGAAAACATTGCAAATGCGAAACAAGCAGGGTGAATGTGATTTAACTGGCCAAGGAAGCAGCTACTAAAATGAAACTAGTGGGGAAAGACTGTTCTTTTACACACAACATTTTGGAGGCCCCTAAGCATCATGGAGTAAAGAGAAAAATAGACAATCAATCTGAGATTTCAGAACAAGGACGGGTCTACCTAGGAGGACTACAGGCAGGACAAATGATTTTTATTATAATATTGTAAAAGAAACAATATGGTTGCATCACACAAATGAAAGGATTAAAGGAAATGAACACAAATCTGAGTCCAGATAAAATGGTCTAATTGTAGTAACAATAGCAAAGACAAATGAAGATGTATAGAAGAACTAGGAAGTCTTTGTGTTAACTATACAGGGATCAGGTCCTGACAAGCTCACCAAAATGATCTGGAGATAAGCGTTTTTAAAACGTGTCATGGGTATAAAGAAATAAGGTGAGATATGGGTCTGCAAATGATCAACATTCACACTGCTAATGGATGAGATCACTTAGGAGAAAAATGTGGGAAAAAGAAACGTGATATTTGCTGAGACAGTAAAAGGAGGAAAAAAAGGGTGATCTTGGGTCAGTGATGAACAAGCTGTGGAGACTTGGACAGAAATGAACCAGTAATAGAGAATTCTTAATGAGGGCTGTTTGTGAAGACAGGACAACCAAAACAAAGTAAATACAAGGTGGGAGGATAATTTGAAACAGCTTTTTCAGAGAGAGTCTAAAACAACTAAAAAGCTGAAGTTATGTGTTAAACAGAAAACTGGTGTAAATAATGGTTATTTTTTTAGGAGGGAATGCGAAGGCTATGGTGGGTTGCTAAAGACAAAAAAATAAAGAAAAGAAAGCAAGAGAAGGTGACAGCAGGACCACAAAATGTTCCCTAGAATTTAAATTTGTAATCCTGTAGTAGTTGATCCTTTGATGGACCTTTTCTTCTGGCTCTTTTTAAAAGTGCACAGAAATATGCAGAGCTGTAATTACTAATATCTATTATTAGAACAGACTTCTTGAAGTTCCTTCCAGGTTTATTCTCTTCTGACACAGCTTTCATGGGTTTACATTACAGTAAAAAGGGTTTGCTACTTTAAACATACCAACGTATTCAATTTTTACTAAAATATAAGAAAATTTGTAAAAAATGGCCTTTGGACAAAAATTCTGCATGGCCTTTAGCTCTGCCTAGATGAATTCATAGAGTGCAAGTAAACTTGAGTCTCTTTTGCTACTATTTTTGAAGCACTGTAATTCTCTAATTCTTTAATGGCATTAAATGCTAGTGAAAAAGAACTGTATAGACATGGTCATTCAAAAACACTGAAAATGCCATTGAGATGTTTTTATAGATCACAATCCCCTGGTCAACAACATTCAATTTTATTTCACAAATTTAAGATTACTATTTGTTCTGCCTCCATACGATAATGTTGGTGTTTTAAAAATGACTTTATCACAAACCTCTCATTTCCTGAAATCGCCCTAATCTGAAGTATCATTTCTCTAATGGCTCACAGATGTATGATGCCAAATTATAACTAAGCTTAGAAAACATACTGAATTAGGAAAAGAAATGCTTACAAAACATGTTTTCCTACATTTGCTGACATTTGCTGATACAGAACAGTATTTCATACGTCTCATTTATTTGCCATAAATGAGTCACTTTCATCAAATTTAAAAGGAAGAACAAGATAAGGTCTCTCATTTAAAGCCACTATTGTGTCCAAGTCTGTGCTGTATGATCATGTGCTGTTTTGTCATGATTTTTACTGGCTCCTTAACCTCACTTTCTCTGACATTTGACCTAAAACCTTAGTCATCACTTAACCACTTCTGTAATGATGTTTTGCTACATGATCAAGCCCATTAATTTACAGCTCATTATAGTTGTGGCCCACAAGTACTTCTAGTAAGTTGGTTTCCAGTGCTAGTAAAGCCCTAATTCTGTCATCATGTTATTAGTGTTGGAATGGCGTATACTGATGAATTTGGCTAATGTTGAATAAATTCCACAGCAGGAGCTTACAGCTTAAAATAGACTCTTTAGTGCGTTCTTTGTGTCTCTGAGGACAGGGAAATAAAAGCAAAACTTGCTGCTCTTCTCTCATTTTAGATGCATTCTCAAAAACCTGCAACCATGAAACTTTACTAATATGCTGACTAAAACGCCAGCATGACAGACTTTGGGCAGGTATGGCTGCTTTAATCCATTAACTCCTTACCAGTTCTATCTTTGCAGTTGTCCCCACCAGCACAGTATTTGAGCATATAGAAAGTCTGGTACATTTTCAAATAAAATACTCTGCCTGACAGCCTGAAACGATGCTAAATTAACAGTTCCCAGGAGTTATGCAGACAAAGAATTTAAAGTTTGATTATTGTCGATGAAACAAAAGTGCTTTCAAAATTCATGAGGTTGTGCTGTGTTCTCTATTACATGAAATAATAATTGAACATCTTCATACAGTACAGCCACTATAATACTTACAGAAACTCAGCTGCCGACTTTCACAGAACTCCGCGTACTGGACCGAGTCCATCATTCGTGTTTGTCTTTCTGCTCTCTGACAAAAGAGTGGAAGTACATGATGTACCTTATTCCAACAAGAACTGCATTCCCCCACAGCAATTATAGCACCAGAGCTCCCCTGCCATAACCTTGAAGTAACCCTCCCAAATTAAACATGCATTGAACAAGTTCAGATGCAGAACTATGAACCACAGGTTGGTTATTGGCCTCCCGAGTTCAATTTCCCAGAGGAGTGTGTCAATCCTCATTTAATGTGCTATGGCAGCGACGAGGGCTGAGCTAGAAAAGGTGCTGAGCACTCTTGCCCTGCCCGAGGTGCACATTTAAACTGAAGCACGTGAGTGCCTACGTGCTTTTACAGATGACCAGACAAGTAAAACATTTTCCTGGACTGGGGCCAATGTGTTCTGCATTGAGAACTGAACCTGTGTGCTTTTAAAATGGGAGCATTAGCAGCAGTGAAATGAGTAAATTCCACCATACTGAGGATGTACCAGACAGAAAGGAGCATTGAAGTGTCCCTTCCCACACTCAATGTACAGGAATAAATAAGTGGTAAATGTGTCTGTTTAAATTTTTTTCACTATTAATCTCTCCTTGATTTTTTTTAAGCTTCTGAACACCTAAAGGAAAAGAAAGGAAATTAGTCTAAACTAGAGCTTGCTCAAGAAAAACAGCTTAAATGTTCACTACTGGATTTAAGAATGTATTTCACAGAGAGTCCAGTGTCAACCAAAAGAGCATAAGCCACATGCTTGAGTTGTGTTCACTTCAACAGAGCAAGGGTGATTTCCACCAGGTAGGATCTGATCTCTACAAGAGATTAAATTCTTCATGTATCAGAGGTAGGAAGGGGTAATTAGATTAAAGAAAACTATTATCTTCTTCAGAAGCAGACAGCTTACTCAAGTCTCTCAAACAAGGAAATTAGATTGTCTTAAAAATCAAGGAAAGGAATATAACTATCATCCAAAAAATAACTCAACTAATAAATCATTACACGTGTTATGAACGGATCCTTAATGAGGATATGAAGTAGTATCAGGAGTGGCTGATAGCACTGGAACTCTTTCTGCAGTGAGTCCATACAGCTCAAGAAACCATGCACAAAGAAGGTAAAGTACAGGTGTGTTGGCATTCAGGATGAAAAACAAAGAAAAAAACACACACATACACAATAATTTTGCTCTGAACCCCCAAGCACTTATACATCTGATGAAACTGAAATGGCAGAGTTTTTCAGTCTGATCTAGTGGAAAACAAAAGGGCTGTTGGTAAGTGTATTTGAAGACAGGCTATACAACCAGCATTTGGCCATAGCAGTTTCTCAAATCAGAAGAAAAATAAAAAAAGAAAAATCAGTACTTCAAATACATAGCTCCTGCCTCTGTTCTCTGTCTTTTAGTCTGTACTGTTCTACAACAATCCAATCCATCAATTATGAGGTCTTGTTGACAGTCAACATGTTCAATTTAGTTGTAAAGTAAACCACTAACATTCCAGGAACATACCTGGATATTCTTTTTCTTCTTTTCTTTTCTTCTCTAGTCAGTCAATAATTTCTAATGTATTTTGAGTTAAGTCACCAGGATAGAAACTGTTCTACTCAGGCATTTTTTTTCAGTCCTCCTGCACATGTTTGACAATATTTTGTGAAGCTGCTATTTCAGATAAGTAAAAATTTTCAGTCTATCTATTCCACCCAGACATTAAATAAGTCTAGGCTGATTTTGTAGCCTTTAAAAGTAATTTTCACAATGCATGCCATAACTTCAACCCTCATCAAGCATAATCATAACAGAGATCTGTTTTGCCTCTGAATTAATTCAGTCATATGTTTGAAGACAAAAGGCACCATCAGGATCATCTAATCTCAACCGCATAGCACAGAACACTTCTCACATAATACATCTTAGAAATGGCAGTCCTAAAATTTCTTGTGTAATTTTACTGTACGTTTCAGAAAGGCATCTAATTTGGGTTTAAATTTCTCACATATTAATAGAGAACTTCTTCAAATCATTTAAAATGCAAACTTTTTATGCAATGCAGTTTAAATTCTGTAATCATTTGTGTCTGTCTTTGCCCATCAGCAAATACCACCTGGGCACCCCCAGGTAATATTGAAATAATTTAATTTAGGTGTGTGATCAGACAGGCTGAGCTTCTCTATGACAAAATGTTCTTGAAATTTTACATGGATATTTGCAGGCAGAACTGTTGCTTGAGACCCCTCTCTAACAACACTCTCTCTGGAGTTCTCTAGCCCAGTCTCCAGCTTAAAAGGGCTACTGCCAATACTAGACAAAGTCAGCTACAGCTTTCTCCAGCAAAGTCTAGAAAACCTCCAAGGAAAGAGATGTTACATATCTATCCTGTACTGATGCACAGATTACCCTCTCCCAGATGCAGAACCTCAAATTACTAAATTTATGTTGAGTCAGGTCTCAAAGTTTTCAAGACCTGTCTGGATGGAAGTTTCATCAGCCAGTGTGCCAGCCACTATTAATTTACTATCATCAAAAGATTTGCAGAATGTGGATTTTCTATCTTTGCCCACCCTGTGAATGAAGACATTGAACAATATGGGCTCCAACATCAATCCCTGGGAGATTCTGTTTTCACCTGTTGCCACCTATATGTTAGGTCATTGGTTATAGCCCTTTCACATCCAGCAGCCCCAGGCATTTAAAACTCTTTGCAACAACAAGGCAGGCACAAGAAAGCTAAATGATGTGAAATGCTAACATGAGGATTTCTGCTTCAAAGACCTTCCTGAGCTGACAGAGAAAAAAGACATCTAGAAATCCAGAAATTTGACAAGGATTCTTGAACTTTTACAGACATCTCATAATGTAATAGGGAAACTGCAAAACCAGATTAATCCCAAGATTAGTTATGTTAAATAAAATGATTTATCAGTGGCTACCCTCAATAAACAGACTACAGAACTCCAAAAATGCACGCTGTCAAAGGCCAGTCAATATGTCTCACAGTATGCTCACTGTCAAAACATTGCAAAAACAAAAACATACTAATCAGAGGAAAGTTACTGCTGAGAGATTTTTCCAATAGAGATTTCATTTCTCTTTACAGATTGTATTAGTAGTCTAAACACTGGACTTAATTTTGTTCTTATGTACTCAATGAATATAAACACTTTTTCTCTGTATGAATATTTTTAAAGTATTAAAATTACCTACATATCTGTGAAATAAAATTCTCCTCTCTAAAAGAAGTCTTTCTTTACGGTGTATGCTAGAGTGATGCTCTCAACCACCACAAAATAAAATAGCTTTTATCATAAATAACCAGGCTACATTTTCTTCCCAATACACTTTAACAAAAAGCCCCACATTGTGTCATAGAAAGTCACAGTTCAAGGGATATGGATAAGTATTCCATCAATCCTGCCACTTTTAGGGTAGTCTATAAATAACCAGCGAAATAAGCAGATGGGTATCATAGGTATGTCATCTTTAAGGAAACACCGCAGCAGAAGACAATAGCAGATCATCTTTCCTCTTCACTTCCCAAGATTACAAAGAGTAATTGTTTTGTCTGACATCATCCCTGCTTTGGAAGAAGTTAATGTTCCTTTATCTTTACATTTCCAAGGCATTTTATAAACTCAAAATAAATCAATAACATGGGATAAAAATGGAGGGGAAAGAGCGAGCAGAGTGCTATGGACACTGTTACTGCAGGCTAGAAGGGTTTAAAGGAAACAACATTCACTGCTGAGGAAGTCACAGGAAGCTTGTGAAAATTCTGTCATCTGCAAGTAATGCTTTCTTTTAAGTCTACAGAATATCCACTTGCTTTTTTTCACAGTCGTCAGTTTTCAACTATTTTTTTTTTCTTGAAAACAAGAAATGATACAGGGTATTTTACCTAAGAAACAGCTTCAACGTTACACAAGTGAAACGTTCTAATTTCTGTTCCTAGAAGGAGCAGTAGGTCTCTCAAACTGGACTGAAGTCCTCTTTCATCAGTATAAAATTAAGTTTTCTGGGAATATTTCCTACATGAAGCAGCATTGAACCCCCTAATGATACACCACCTTGAAGCAAGCTCAGCTTGAAATCAGATACAAGAAATTACATCAATGAGGTTGCTCCACTGGTTTATCAAAAGAATTAAAAATACATAGTTTTTATTCCCTCTGCAGTACTAGTCACTCTGAGCAGTTAAGGAGCTGAGTTATGTGGTGTACAGCAGAGTTAAAATACTTTGCATGCTTTCCTTGGAACATGCTGAAGGATGCAGTAGATAGGACCTGGCACAGTAAACGTCTGTTTGGTCTTCCAAAAATGTGTTGCATTATATCTTTCTTTCAGCATGAAGAACTAAAAAGGAAAACTAAAAAGAGAAAGGAAAGGTAAAAAGCTGCATGTTGTCACCTACCATCCGGGATGAAAAATAATCTTAATTTTAATTCCATTTACATCTTTCACACTTGACATATAAACCTCTTTGTGTGGGGGGAAGGCAAGAGGCCAAATGTTAACTTGCTTGCCCACGATTACGTGCTTAAATATTACGTGCTTGAAGGAAATGTGCCGAGTAGCTGCTAAGCTGGAACATTTGAAAAACGTATGCAGCATGGCTGGACAGCCCTGTGTTTGGCAACAATGCTAGTGATGAAGATTTTGGCTACCCAAACTGCTGGTGTATTCATATTGTGGTGTGATTTCCTGATTTCCTTTGCTAAAGACCTGCCTCTTCATTGTGTGCATATCACGGCTTCAAAGGAGCTAGGTGACTACTCTAGGTAAAACACAGTTGCCCTGCAGTTGGCTGTTAGGCTGATATTACTAAAAGACTATGCTAAATATCTTTTTAATTATATAGACAAAGAATAACAGAAAACTGTATGCTGTACCTGACAGCTCTAGGGTTATAGGTCAAAAATTACCTAGATCAAAAAAAAAAAAAACAAAACATCATTTAAACATGAAGCACAAAGTGGCTCAATACTGAAACATTTACAAAATATGCCAAACACACACATTTTAGTCTTCTGTATCTTGA